AAAAAAAAAAAAAAAAAAAAAAAAAAAAAAAACACATCTTAGTAAAACCAATACCTTCTCAGCTTCGCATCGAAGCTAAAAAATAATTTATACAGTTTGATCATCTCATTATAACTCACGCAATATCTAAATAAATTTGTTGATAATAAAATTTAATTTTAACGTATTACAAAAGAGAAAAACTATATTCATGCACAAAAAAAAAAATCAAATATGTTATAAGTGTTACTCTTTTACCATTTTTCTATTTTTAAATTATATTAACTTCAGTTTTATTATTAGAGTCATACTTCTTTAACTAGTATTATACAATTGAAAATCATATTAATTTTTAATATCTTATTTAGTGTTGAGTGTTAATTATAATAAACATTTTAAAATAATAGTTTTAGGAGAAACATTAGCTTACGTAAAATAAAGGATGCTATATTTACACTTTAATTCGCTATAAAAACAACTCTAAGGAATATGTAGGTAGTTTAAAAACTCCTTTAAGTGCGTATTCAGGCAACTTTGGTTTTGAATCCTAAAACAAAATAGTTACTACTGGCTTACTAAAGAATAATCAATCGAAAAATTTACTGAAAATTCTCAAAAATTAAATTTTGTACATTTTCCAACTAATTTTAATAATAAATATCGGTCAAAATAAAAAAATAAATAAATGTTAAAGAAATATTTTTTTAAAACATCAAATTAAGTCAGCAAACATTTGTTGCACAAAGTACTCAAGTATTTTTTATATATTTATCTACTTGTATGAGTATATAAATTGATCACACTTTTTTTATTGATAGAGTTATGGAGTTTTGTTTTTATGTGTATTTGATTTGAAGAATTTTAACTTGTAAAATAATTACTAATTTTATTTTAAACATTAAAATATTGAACGAATATTCTGACTAATATTATTTAATAATAAATATTTTCAAAAAATGTAGAAACCTTTGTTTATGTTTATGGATGTTATCAAAAAATGAAAAGTTTTATGAACGAAATGATTTATTATATACTTGTGAAAACTTAATGAGAACATTAATATTTTTAATAAAAACAAGTAATCCTGTTGTAACTGATTTAATTCAACTTTTAGCAATATTGATAAAAAAGTAAATAATTATTTTGGTATAATTAAAAATTCAATTATCATCGTATTTATTGTCTAACTTTATAGAGGAGGACCAAAATTAAGGGAAAACTGTAACATGACGCAAGTTTTCACTATAATTAAATTGATTTTTGTCAACTCGGGAAAATTATCTGATCGTTGTACTACAAACGCTGTTTTTATATTAAATACAATTCTTTCTTGTCCTTCAGTAGAACTTAATGACAAACTTTATACAACTGCGATTTCTGTATCAAAGGCGATATGCAAAATTTTTAAAGAAAAAGATGTAATTGATCCGTATATTGTTGGAATAGCATCAGATATCTCAAGTAGCATTTTAAGGTTTGACATATAATTTAAAATAATTTCTAACTAATTAAAAAAAGTTAATAAATATTTTTTATAAATTTCACCGAATCATAAAAATTAGTTAATTTTTATGAGTAGATTTGAAATATATATAGTAGACAGTTTTACAGACTCAATAGGAGCAACAGTTCTTTCTGTCCCACCCCTTGTGAGAACCTGTTTTGTAATTTTCAAATATGTTTTTGCATATAGGTTTTATTCGACTATAATTAAAAGAATTGAAATCAACTCAAATTTATCTCAACACCGTGATATTGTAGAACCTTTAAAAAATGTAGCACTGTACTTAATCGAAAAAATTAGTTTGCCCTTTATACAAGTAATGTAGATTTAACATGAAAAAATTAATTAAAATTAAAAAATTCTTTATTATTTATCCATAGAATAATATTAACTCAAATATTTATTGCAAAACCTATCTCAAGGGATTAAAATGTTTATTAAGTCCATTCAATGAGAGTATATTGCCTCATGTACTTTACAATGTTGCTAATGAATACGCTACTCGTGGAATGATTAGTGTATTGTATGGTTTACTTGAATACAGGTATTTCACAAAATAAATACTCAATTAAATTACTTGTTGGTATATGACTTTAAAAATGGGCAATTGAAGGGAAAGGATTGTGTTATTCTTCTATGCTAATATATATAAAAAGTTTATAATTTGGAAGGAAAATGTTTTATTCTTAAAATTAACGTCTTAATATTATAGTTTTACATTGGTTTTCAGTGCAATTATGGTATTAATAGAATATATATAGTAGATGCCTTTTGTAGAAATAACATATTTAGCTTTCAAAATTGGATTTATAATTCGTCATTAATTTTTAACAGTGATTTACATAAAGTTGCCGAAAAGTTGTTATTCAATGTCTTGTATCATCTATCAATCGTTAACCTTGAAGTTGAATGTTATTGGCCTGGTGGCTTAAAATTATTTTATACAAATTTAAAAACAGGAATCAAAAATATTCCTAAAACATCAAAAGAAATTTGTATGTCACTTGTTATTAATCAGAATTCTGATATCAATCAAATAATTACAATCTATTTATATTTTTACTTTTTAACTTGTTCTAAGTGAGTAATTTTCATATTATTTAATAGTACTCAGGGCTACATTTAAGAATTATGCTACCTGGGTTACCAAATACCGATGTCTCTTATTTTATGTTTTCGTCCCTTTTAATATAAGAAAAAGAACAAAAAAATTTATTCAATACATGAAATTTACAAATTCTGATGTTAGTAAAAAAAGCTAATATTTGTCTAGTGTTACTCCAAAGTCAACCATTCAGGGCACTTGTATTCGATACTGTCTATTAATTGTAGTCTTCATAGTTTTAGTTACATTTAAAAGATTAGTTGGAATACTTCGTAACTATTTATTACTTTTAGCGTTGAATGTGAATCTATTTATTTAGAGCCATTGTGCGTCTATTTGTGTTCAATTAATAATTATACTTCAATTCCTCATCTTAAGTCCCTTCTTTTCAACGTATCTGTAAGTAATAATTTAAATAAATATTAATATTTAAATACTAATTAATGTCATAATTCAAATGAATAGATATCATTTGTATCTCATCATGCTGTAAATACTGTATCGGGTTTATCATCTGCTACGAAAAAAATGATAGAACTTTTAAATTCATTGGAAAATATTGATACAGTTTTTACATTTCATCCGGCGATATTATACTTTTTATTTGCTTCAAATATATTTACAACCGACATACAATTACGTCTTGTGAGTATTTTTATAAATTACCACTTATAGATTACCAAAATGAAACTGACATTTTACTTAGATGAGATTATGGGTAAAGAATTTGGATGATACTAGTCAAATCGAATTACAAAAATTATGCTTAAATAACGATAATTCAAAAATGTGTTTACTGGTAAGTTAGTTACTGATCAATTTACAAAGAAAGTAATTGTTCTTCATTTGCAAAAATAAATCTAAATAAATTTACTAATCGTGTTACAAGGATGTTTTAATTAATGAAAAAGAATTGGAAGTCGTTAATATTGAAAATGGATTTAATATTATCAACTTCATAATACTTGAAGAAAGACAATATAACAAAGAAGATACTATACTTATTGTGTGGGATATATTGCCAAATTGTTTAGGATCATTTTGCTGTGCCGAAGAATCTTTAAAAATAGGACGTTAGTAATTAAGAAACTATCGTAATCATTTTCTTTTAAAAATTTGTTTATTCATAGAGTTTTGATTTAAAAGTTACAACCCATTTTATTAAAATTTATTAAATATACAGCGAATAACCTATTGTGTTTGTTGAATTTGGCTAAAGAATTTATTCCACATGAAAAAAATAACTTGACGTTTAATGCTCAGCGTAATACAACTTTTACAATTTTGTCCGTTATAAATTGCTTTAAAAATAATAAAGCAGAACATAACAAATTAACGTCATTGTGTTTACAGCACCTTATTGACCTAATTACATTATCTCCTACTGACGGTAAATAAATTAATGTTAATGTAATTAGAGTAGAAATACATTAATTCTTAATGATATTTATCATTATTATTTACAGTACTTAACATAGTTAAAAATCACGACGAATTTTTATCTATTTTAATTAATATGTGTTTAACCGAAAATAACGAACATTGTTATTTGTCTCTTGAGATTCTTATCAAGTTGCATCAAAGTAACGAACCGCCAAAATTATCGTCGTTGCCTGTAATTTTTTATTATTTTAAACATTTTTTTGACACCATGGACGTAGTTTTCCTTTTTATTAGATCATTAGAATATTAGAATATTTTTCAAAAATAACTAGATCTCTAAAACCTTTTTAGCTCCCAAAATTGTTTAATATTTCACAGTAAAATTTCAAGTTTTAAGAATATTATATGTGTATGTGCATAATTAAAAAAATACATTTTTAGACATTTTAATGTATAAATCTAATTGATTATAAAAATAGGGAAATAACATAAAAATTTATTATAATATTTTGAATGTGGCTAAACTATTTTTTTATGGGGGCAACCAAATTCATTTTATCGGTATATATAATTTAAATACTAGATATAATCGACTGATATAAATTCAAAGGTATAAGCGACTCCCTTTCCCTTTTACATCCTAAAGATATTTTATAAAAGATTCAGAACCACTCAGATAAAACTCTAATTACGTCCATGATTAGAAAAGATTTATTATCAAAAAATTTATTTATTTTTAATAGCATTCAGTAACATTAAAATACAATCATATATTAACTGCTATGGATAAGTTATGCTACAATTGCATCATCTCATCAATTACATTATTCGAATTGATCATTAAAAAAAATGATGAAAATTATAATGGTTTTATAAATTTAGAAGACATACAAAATACTGACTGTTTAAAAGCTATATTTTTTAAATTAGAAACAATTGTGATATCAATAGTAAAATTATTGATTATTTTCTTAATAAAACATTTTAAAAATTTCAAATTTATGAAAATTCTTACTTTTTAGGAATTAGATTGGGTCAAAAATCACGCATGGAAATGTATGAAAACTATTTTATCATCTATTAAACTAAAAAAATATGAGCTACAGGAAATTCAATGTGATCTAGCTTTCGACCCATGGCTTTATTATTCATTAAGACATTTGAATTGTTATAGTGAAGTTTGTTTAGAATTCCTACAATTTTGGTTCAGTAATTTTGTGTTGAGTTAAGTATCGCTATGTTAAAATATAATTTGCGACTTTTCATGGCAATTCTTTTCTATGAATTGAGAGCATATTGAGATGGAATCACACTGAAAATTAAATAAGCAAACAATATATCTTTTATATTTATATATTTAAATGGTGGTGAAGGGTTATAACCTCTTTCCCCAATAGAATAAAAGTATTTTTTTAATTAAAATAGGTTCATTATAACTAAATTATTAAAAGTAAACTAATAATAGAATTATAATTCCTTCAAAATAAATTTCTCACCTCATAGAATATATAAATATAAATTAGTGTAAATATAGAAATGAACTTATGTTTTATATTATACATATATATTTATGTATGTTTTTAGATAAAGAACGGGAAAAACACATAATTCACGGAAAATTCATTTTATGCACAAGTATTTTTGATAAGACTATCGTAGAAATTTCTTCTAAACTAATTAATCAAACTTATGAAAATAAGGATATTTTGAATAAAGCTATAGGAATAATACATTTAGTGAGTGCCTAAAACTTAAATTATTTTTGTCGTTAATTTCTTTAATTGAATTTTTTTATTCGTCATTTTCTATCAATTAATTTATTTTATTAAATTACTTTAGATTTTAGAATGTAACTTTGTGAAAACATTTCCTGAAAAGTTACTTAGTAAAATGAAATCAATCGTAATAAATTAAAAAGATAATTTTTATATTTTTACAAATATCTATTGTTTTACTTTATATAATAATATACCATCTTGAAAAATATATTTTGAAATGTTAATTTTAAAAAAAACATTATGAATAACTTTTAATGAAATATAATAATGAATTATTTAATATAAATTAAATATGAATATAAGCTTATTTGTTTCATTCAAATAAAATATTAGTGAGTTGTTTATAATTACAATCTCAAATTTCAGTTTTTTTTCATAAGTAACCACATTATATATAAATTTTAATTCACGCAATACATCCAGATGAATGATCAGTTTTATGTTCTTCTATTTTCTAAACTTAGCATGCTACAGAGGGTGGTGGCCCTCTTTAACATGTTAGGGAGTCTAAGATTGATTTTGGATAGACCAATGATAGACGGGGCGGGTATTATGGCCGGCTTACACCAGAGACCATACAATAAGATAATTGCAAGAAAAATCTTGTTGGCACTTTGGAGATTGAATCTGGGACCCCGTGTACCTAAACATACGTTTCTACCCACTAGGCCAACTCCTTAGAAGTAGTACCCCTTAGTTGTGTTCGGATGACAATATTATTTTCTTCTGATTATCATTTGTTAGTATATTTATAAACGTCATGAACGTAATATTCTTTTTTCTTTAATTTTATATTTTAAAAAAGGATATTAGTTTTTGAAGTAGTAAAATTGTTTTAATTTTGACCATTTGTAAAATGATGTTTTATTATAATAATTTGTACATACCTTCCAATGCAAAACATCTATTTATCAAAATACGCCCAATAAACTTTTTTTATAAATTAAATCATAATTTTTTGTTAAATAAATCATTATTTTATTTATAAGAATAAAAAAATGATAAAATCAACAAATGTTTTGTCAAATCAAAAATAAAGTAATAAAATAAAATGTTAAATGGTTAACAAAAATATTATTGGACGTTATTGATAAAAAATTCGTTAATGTTTCTTTAGAGTTTCTTCAGTATAGTAGCGTATCTATAGGTAATTTATAGTACTAAGCAATTATGTCGTAAAATTGATTTACAGCGTTTTATAAATAGGTATACAAACGACTCATATTACTAAATAATAAATAACATAATAGTAACTTTTATTCATGTTATAAGTAAATTAAACACTTTATTATTTCATTGTATTGTCAATTAATCTATAAAGATTTATATACTTTTATTGAATCAAGTAGACTAGCAAATAATAAAAGTAAAAAAAAACACTAATAAAGTAAGGTATGATAAAAATTAAATTTCAGGATTAAGAGATATACAGCAAAAATTGGTTAAAACTCAATCTAAAAAATAAAATTAATCTAGTGAGCCCAAAAAAACAATTATTATCCCTATTATTATAATCCCTATTAGATGATAGTGATGAAGATAATGATGTTTTGTTCTGTAAAAGTTAAATTTTATTTTTGAAAAGAAGAAATATTGTTTTTAGTCATGACTTAGAGCAATAAAAACCCCAGCACAGGGGGGTCGCGGCACAGTGGTGACGTGGCATAGTTGAATCAAGTATAATATCTGACAGTGATTATAATTCACTATCAAAAAAAAAACGCTTCAATGCAAATCTTTAGATAGTGTTTAATTTTAAAAAATTGGTGTATTATTCCAAAAGGTTCATGATCTGCTAGTTCCTTATTAATATCCTGATTAAGATAAAGTATGTCGAATGAAAAAGGGATTATTAAAAAATATTATTTCTCATAAAAAAATTGTATTGATCCATATATTTTTCAAAAAGTTATAGCATAATAAAGTTAAAAATGTAAAAAATAATATCGAGAATATTACACAAAAATAGCATTCGGTAGCCACCATTTTCACCACGAAGACAAGTCCAGAGGTCAAATTTTTTTTTTCAAATTAAAGTATATTACGTTAGCTTTAATTTAAGATATATATAAAAGTGTCAGACCTTCCGGAACACTTTCAAAAATTAAGTGTAAAAGTAAATTGTGAAAAAGTTGTCATTTAAATCCCCCCCTGTGGGCTGGTTAAGTGTCAAATTTACAAAAAAAATATACCAAATGATAGGTAAAGACATCAAGCATCTATAAAAAAAAAAATTATATTGATGTGTTCATTTTTGAAAAAGTTACGGCAGTTTTTAGTAAAAAAAATTGAAAAAATTTCGAAAATTAGCGATTTTTAAATTTGTAATTTTTTTGGGAGGTTTACCCCATTTACGGGGAACGAGGGATAATTTTTTCAATTTTTGAGGGTAATGTCATTGACTAGATACGATTTGTGATCTTTTGACGTATTGTTGAAAGAAATCCGTTCGGTGAGAGCTGCACCCAGAGAAAAACCTTGATCTATATAATAAATTCATTGTTCAATTTAATAAATATATCATTACTATTGAATCTATGATATAATTATCAATATGATGATTTTTTTTCTTATCTTGAACAATAATTATTCATAAGAATAATTATTTTGTTCGTATTAATAAACATTATCATAAACCCTTGATAAAATTTCTTTATCAAAATTGATTGAGGTTTTTCTTTGGGTGTGAGAAAAAGTGGTAACAGACACAAAAAAAAAAAAAAAAACACATCATAGTAAAACCAATACCTTCTCAGCTTCGTATCGAAGCTAAAATATAAACAGCACTTATAATATTTTATTATTAATATTATTATTATTGGAAAGTAAAACACTGAAACTATATAATATTATTATTCAAAAAAGCACAAATTTATCCAATTTTCGTGACCAATTTCAAATGATATAGTTTTGTAACAAAAAAAAATTTTTTCTTCATAATAAAATATAATTTAAAAATAAATTTTTTGATTTTAAAAATTTGATTTTTGTTATGAGATAAAGGTATTGTCCATAATTTATATATTAATAATATTTTCTAATTTGGTCGGGTTGATTTTTTCAAACCATGGTAACAAAACAGCCATTTTTTAAAATAAAAAAATTGGTGAAAACATTTAAATATTAAATTAAATTTTTGAATGTAATTCTTTTTTTCAATATCGATTTACTACACTATCGAAAACATTTTTTTTCTGATTTTACGTTATAATATTGCTGAAATTCGGTACGATATCAATATCCAAAAATATATCGTAAAGGTCATATTATCAAAAAAAATTTGTTTAATAAAAAGAAAATGCCTTAGATATTGATAAATAATATTTTATGAAAACTTTCACAAATCATAAAAAATTGTATTGATCCACAAATTTTTCAAAAATTTAATGCAATATTAAGTTTAAAATATAAAATTGGAAATTTCATCAAAAAAAAATATAATTCTTAGCATTGGCTATTTGTATATAAAATATCAATGATTGAGATAATTATTGATTTTAATTCATAGTACCAATATAAGCTTCAATATAACATATGATTAAAAGACGTCGGATTTCCGGAACATTTTAAAAAGTAAAATGTAAAAATTTTATATTTCATACAAAAGAAGGTATTTTTAATCTCCTTGTAGGCGTTTAATGAGTCGAATTGTCAAAAAAAAAAATCAAATAATGACACATCTAAGGTATTTTCAAAATAGTTTTTGATTTAATAAATTTTTGAAAAAGATATGGCAGTTTATAGTTGTTAATGTAAAAACTATATCAAAATTCACTTATTTTAAAAATAGTTATTTTTTGGAGCTTGCCCCTATTTATAGAAACCAAGGGAAATATGTTCAAATTTTTGCATTGGTAGGTTTAACTTACGATTTATACTAATTTGACGTATCCGATGCACAAAATGGTTCATTAAATGAGAAAAAGTGGTGACAGAAACAAAAAAATCTGTATATAGTGTTAATTTTAAGAAGTTGGTGGGTTAAATAAATTCTTATTTCTTTTATTATTCCTGATCAGTAGTTTTTTGATTTAGAAGTATATATGAATAAATATTTATTATTGCAATTAAAAATAGTATGAGATTGACATTTAATAATTTAGTATTGCAATTTTTACTGAAAAATTATAAATTAGTTGTTACTTTTATGGCAAATGTATATAAATATTAAAGGACTTGATACAAAAATTTTCAGAAGATAATTTGTGGTTAATTATGAATAAATAGTCTACAAATAATTTTCAACAATACTTTTATTATTAAATTTTTCTATCACCACTAATTTTTGATATTATTAATAATTTGTTCAAAACAAGTATTAACATATAAAAAAAATATAAGTTAAAATGAAATTCAATAACACATCAGTGAATGAAATCACAGGTGAAATTAGGTATGGAATATTTCTAAATATTTCAATTGTAGCATCAATTTAAACACCAGGAGTTACATTGAAATGATTACTAGGACTTCTATTTTAATAATTTATTACAATAAAAATTTAAAAAAATAGTGATTTAGACGAAATGTTTAGTTTCCCTCATAAATTTATTGTTAATAGTAATTATATAAATTACTGATCAGATATCTATCTAAAAAATATAACTTTTTATTCGTCATAAAATGTTCGATTTTCAATATAGATAATAGCAACTGTGATCTACATGAATAAGTAAATAAAAAGAACTATTTAAGCTCGTTCAAAAATTGAAAGTCGCTTTTCTCAAATTTGAGGAGGTAAAATAATCAAAGTAAGTTTAAACATATTTAATGTAAGTTAGATACATGTAAATTTTATAAAACTGATGGACTCGTTACTATAGCAAACCCTTGTATAGGCATTAAAAAAAAAAAATTCGAACACAAAAATAACATGTTTTTTAACTACGGCAGCCATTTGCAGGTAAAAGATAAATTGTCGGGACAAATTTTTTTTTATTTTGTAGTACATAACATAAGTTTTAATTTTATTTATGTTTAAAGGACGTAGTATTTTCGAACATTTTCAAAAGTTAAGTTGAAAAACTTAGTTTTTGTAAAAAAGTTGCAATTTTAAATCCCCTTGTGTAAACAGGTTAAGTGTTAGATTTTCAAAAAAATGATAATGATAAAAACGAAAGAAAAATATAAATATTTCTATATGAAAAAAATTTTTTGATTCGTTCATTTTTCAAAAAATTATGGCAATTAAAAAAAAAAAAAAAAATGTCGAAATTTACAGATTTAAAAAATCGTAAATTTTTGGAGGATTTTCATCATTTATGAAAACGAGGGAAAAATTTAAATTTTCAAGGGCAATATCTTCAACTAGATACGATTTATGACCTTTTGATGTATCATTGAAAGAACCGATTCAGTGAGAGCTGAGAAAAAGTGGCAACAGACCCCCCCCTCCAAAAAAAACGCACAGTAAAATTAATACCTTCTCAGCTTCGCATCGAAAAAAAATTGTAAAACACTTCATAATAAAATGAATACCTACTATGCTTCTCATTCAAGCCAAACATAAAAAAAATGTAGGCCTACTTGTGTCAACTGTCTATTTTTATGAATTGTAAAAACAGTGGCTAATATGTTCTATTATTGTCTATTCTTTCACAATTTGTAATGATTATTCAACTTTGAAAGTTATGCTATACCAATAATAATGACCCAATGTATTCAAAATAATTGTAATTAAATGATTGGCGTAAATTTTAATTTATAATTAATTTATTGAGATGTTGTTAATCAAATAGTAAATAGGGCATTTACTTATGTTTTATGCATAAAAATGCATTATTTTCCACTTTACTGTTAAGTGATAAAATAAATTTTAACAAGTAATTTTAACCACAACATATTAAAAAGAAAACCTCTAGTTAGAGTATTTATTACATTAAAATATTTCCAATTAATTTTAAATATAGATGAGTACAAAACTAAAAAACATTTGAATAAACCGTGTCCCATTTGTATTATTTAATTCTGGATCATCGATTTTTGTTAATAATAGTCTTGTTATTTTTAGTCTGATACAAGAGCCTAGGATAATTTATTTATTGTTGAAGTTTCAATTAACTATTCTTATGAATCATTCAAGTAATGTTGGCTGTGAATTAAACTGAGATTTCATGATGACATGATATTTATCACTATAAAAAAATAAGTTAATTTTCGCTAATATTTCATTCTTATAAGCATTACAAGGATGAAATATTAGCGAAAGTTACCGATCCTGTGTCTGCAATAGGCGAATGAGGATACGCTACAACATAGCGATCCTTATTCTAACCTTATGAATAGACTAGTTATTCTTTGTAAGACGTAATAGCGTAACGCTTATAAATCATTTGATAAAGGAAATGGTTATCCGCTATTGTAAATCTATACATCTTACATAGAAACCAAAAGATGATTTATGTTCCATATCTACAACATATCATTTCATATCCATCTGTAAACGATGATAAAGTAACGGTACGTCACGCAGCGTACTCGTCAATCTTTGCAGTTATTCCTTTGCGCCCGTACCAGTTCATACGCATTTAAAAAGTATACAGAAAATACCAACATTTGTGTTACCTTAAAATTCTTAGTAAATTACACCAGTTTTATTGGTACGATGAAACTTAGTTGCGTTTATGTGCATTACCGCGTAATTATATACCGTGAAATACCACGACGCCCAAGGTGCGTTCACATGAATTAACATGGTGTTTGAGCGTTTGTTAAGGATTGGCTTCTAAAAGCTAAAATCGGTAGACCACTGCACAAGGTCGTCGGGTTACCTAACATAGTAACTAATGAAGAGTTGATAACGAAACATAAACATTACTACCGCGTCCTACGTCCTCGCACTCATAATTTTTTACAAAGAATTCAAATCAGTTCCATATGCGAGAGGTCTATTAACCTAATAATGCGCATACACAGTTATATTGCGCACCAGAAACACCTACATGAACAAGTTTCACTTGCACTTGATGTCTTGAAGATAGGAAGGGAGAGAAATGTCGTAAGTAATTGATATATGTATATGTACTATACGCAGCATGCGACAATGGAAAGTTTTTCACTTCCTTGGACCCGATCATCGGCACAAGTGGGTGCACGCATTAATTACGCAGATGAACACTGTAGTAACTGTACTGGTAACGCTATGGCGACGCATTTCGTACTTGTTATTGCTCTTTCAACTATCATTCAAATAGAATCATTACTTATATAAAATATATAGCGCAATAGGCTGATAATAATAATTATATTATATTGAATAAAAATCGGTACCTACTTCTCGTTCATTCTTTCAATTTTCGATAAGAATTTATAGAACTTTATATTTTTCCTCTACTATTTTATTATATAATAAAACAAGGAAAAAACGATTTTTAGGGAACACTATTAAGCGTGCTTCAATTTTGCAAAATTTCGACCGTTTTCGAAAAAAATTCTCACTGACGCTAACGTTTTACGATTTAAAGTTTGATATTTTCACCAAACACGCCCAAAGGCATTTCTGAGTTATAATAAAAAAAAAAATGTATCCGTTCATTTTTTACAGTTCTACGAGGTTTTTGTATAAGGGTATTGTTTTATTGTTGCGCATATATATATATTTCAGTCAGTGGCTCACTTATGAGAACGGCCCAAAGAGACTTGCGTGTCTTTGGCGCGTGAAGCTCGTAGGGACCCAGGTCTGAGGCGAAGCCTAGTAGTCTATAAAAGAGAAAAAATCGTCATAATGAGGTATAATATCGAACAAATTGTATTTACTTTAAAACAATAACCCAAGAACCATTCCACAAAGTTAACAAACCACCTAATGTCTTCATGTAGTGTTAAGTAAGTAAGGGAACAGATTTCTATCGTTCTCGTTGTTCGAACTATTGACCTATTTAACTTTTTGAACTGTATTAAATATTCAGTTTGGCGCTACTAGTCTTGAAAAGTAATAAGGAAGTACTTTTTTTTATGCATTGTTATTTGATAAAACAAGCTTAAAGATGAATGGTTTTACAAAAAGCCTGTAATTATATCGGTGCCCACGCATTTCGTTTTCATTTTAACTTAACAATATAAGTTTTTATAGGTTAGCTTAATTAAAAGTATTTTACATTTAAGGAATAAAAGTTAAATAGTATACCTTTTAAGTTTTAATTTTAACTCTTAAAAAGTGTTTAACTCTATTTTGTTTATGTCAAATTTACAAGATGTTAGTTTGAATAATATATTGTCAAAAATACTTGTGGGGTGCTTAATAAGCGTTAATTTTAAAAGAGTATTTTTTTTTAATTTGTCGACCAGTATTAATTGTGATTTGTTAAATTATATTCCAGGAAATTTTTTACTTGCCGAATTTAACGAATCTTTTAAAAAAGTTTAATAAAAATGGTCTGTTTTTCGTGTTTGTCAACTGTGATATAATATCAATTTAGTATTCAACATGTATACTATTTGTTAACGAATACATTCAGTATTCTAGTGGAGATACGAGTGCGTTTGAAGAATGATTAACCGAAAACAAATCAAGAAGACTATCCAAATATTACAGTCATAAAAGGATAACACTCTGAATCGATAATATGTTGAGGGTCGCACAATTGAGAAGCGTCAAAAGGGTTACGTTGTTGAATTTACGTGTTATCATTATTGAATATTATGCCATCATACATGTGGACTGTCGTTTACGATGTGTACTTGTACACTCGAGATTGTCACATTGTTTGTAACTAATAAAAATGTTTTTAATACATCCTTTATCACTACGCCGCCATAGGAATACAAAAACATTGATTTTTTAACACATTGTTTTTCGATTAGTTGTGATTAAAAATAATATCTGCTGAGTAATCATCGTATATTACGTTGCATGTGATGTATCGTTGAAAATTACTGTATTCGATCCGTTATTCAAATTTATTGAAAAATTGCATCATTAAAATAAACTTCATAAGAAATAACGTGGATAGGCCTTCATGAAATCAAAACAACAATAATAGTAGTACTAAATATACTGTATGTAAATTTGTGTAGGACAATTAGCAGCTTTTGTGCATCTAAAAGCGTATTGCATATGAAATGTATTAATTAACTGACAAAAGTAACCACGAATAACAAATATAACGCTTGTAATGGCGCAATATCACAATACCGTGTCATTAAGAAGCTAAAAACTCAACGCTACACGGCCATTTAATGATAACTAATAACATTTATCACGAATCATGCATATAATATAAACGATAAAATACAACTATGCACCTGTCGACTACTAGGCTTGCTTTTGAAAAATGACGGTGGTCATTTATCATTATAAAAACATTGTATAGCTCTACATCTTGGCAGTTTGGATGACGTCCATCGAAAGCAATTAAAAATTATGTATTTGCTGTTTATATTGTTTTTAAATTGTAGTTTTGCTGAAAATTATCCTTATCCGTGCTGAATAGAAGAACGAGAGATCCGTCTCCTTAGGTTTATTAATAGATTGACATTGAATTTAACTTATATCAAATATAACCTCGTTAACAGCATTAATGATGTCGTGTATAAAAATAAAATATTTTCATTTATATTTTCTTTATTAGTAACATAAAAACAATTATTTTACACACGAATAAAATATTTCTTATTAGATAATGATAAAAATACTGTATAATGTATTATTTTTTACACTAACGTGATGGCTCTTGATGATCAAGGCAAATAATTAATATTAATGTTACATGTCAGTTGATATTTATGAGCTATTGACTGCTAATGATCGACTTCCAAAAACTTATCAAATATTACAGATTTTTGACATATTGCGTAGTATTGAGTTATAAAATGTATAACATAAAAATTGTTCAAATTAATAGCAACGATAGAGAAAAAAATATACTTAGAATATTGTATAAAGCAGGTAGGAACTCGCAATCAATATAATTTCAATTTTCATCACACTATTGACTCATTGAGAATTAAATATAATCCAGGGCCAAGAAAATGTTTAAAAAACTTAAGTGTCTGGCTAGATACCAAAAATAAGATAAAGGACTTTTAATCTAAATCAATTAGTATCTGAATGCTGATTTGTAGTAACGTGGTGCATTTTGTGAAATACAAACTAAAATTATGTAATATTCAGTTTTATTGTAGTTGCGCGCGAAGAAAAATATGATTTAATAAATATATAAATTATTTAATTAACGTCTCTTAATAATAAAAAACGAGACAATGGTGTATTTTTGTTTATTTGAAGATCATTAGAAAAAAAAAAGTTTTGTATAAATCTATAAAACGTCAATTTTTTGCAAGTAGTGTCTCTACTCATTTTCAACACACATTTTTATCTTTATTAGTAATATTGTTAATGGCTGGCGTGTCTTGTTTAAAGCATGTGAATAATTTGAACATTTCAAATTATCACTGAATTATTTCTAATTTATTATGTTGATTAAAAATGGAATTGTATAAGTTTACCATAAGATTGAATTTCACAGGTACAATAAAAATACACCCAACTATTATGTGTAAAAATAAATATTAATCATTACGTTATGGCGTCTTAAAGTCGATTCTAAGAAAAGATAATGTTCACGGGCGATAAAAGGGCTGGCCTACAACCCCGTGCACGAGTCTTCAATGAGTTCTATTTTTAGTTACAGATTGCCGAAAATTTTATTGTCTGCGATTATTTTTTGTTTGATAACAAAAAACAGAAATTAAATTGCTTGTATTCCTGTTCGGACATTGATAACACCATTCATTAATATTTTGTCGACAGATATGTCAACATAGTTATAAGTTAGTTACAAATTTGAATTTTTTGTGGAATGTAATCCAAGTATTATAAAAAAATGAACGTAACTGCGAATCAACGCATTATTAGTCCATTGCGAGTGGTCAGTGCTTTGGATAGTGCATGGGAAGACCTAAATGATTTGCTAAACGTGAGTACTATACAATTTTCTAGGTTAATCATGTTGTTGATTAATTGTATCAATTCTATGGTTACTCAAACGAATAGTGGGTGAATTTATTCCAAAATCTAACCAATAACTTTTCTAAATTTGATATATGGCTCTTTATAAACTTGTCTAGAAAACATAATTAAGTTTTAACAGTT